GGAAACTTTGAACCAATTCATGCAAATTTCCATGGATAATCAAAAGAGCAATGAGGTGGAAATAAATAATTTGTAAAATTAAGTGGGTCAAATAGCCAAGCAATTGGCCAAAAAACAAATTGGACTATCATTTTCTGCAAAGACTCACACTAATCCTAAGGAGAATTGCAAATCAATTTTAACTAGGAGTGGTAGAGTAGCGGAATATGGAGTTGTTGATCAAGTTGATAGTGAGGAAGTTGTAATATAAAAATAAAAATAAGTGGAGGAAGAAGTAGAACAAAATAAAATTAAGGGAGTTTTAGTTAAAAATGAGAGAATTGAAAAAGAGAAGATAAAGAAGAAAACGACTGAGGAAAAGAAGGAGAATATACTAGAGGGAAAAATAAAGTGAAAATTCCTCTGATTCAAAACTTACCTTATCCTCATGCTCCCACAATAATGCTAGGCATTATGTTAGGTTCTTGGATACTTTTAGCGCTGGAAAATCAATATTCCATTTTCTGAAGCCTTAGAATAAATCCTTACTTATGCGAAATTCATGAAGGATATTCTTTCAAAGAAGAAGAGTTATACTGATAAATAGATTATCAACCTTGATGCCTGTTGTAGTTCCATTATTTAATGAATAATTCCAAGAAAGGAGAATGATCCTGGAAGACTCACATTACCGGTCACAATTGGTGATATGGATATTGAAAAATCACTAGTGGATCTAGGTTCAAGCATTAATTTGATTCTGTTATCCGTGGTAAGAAGGTTGGGAAACATTGACATTATAGAGACGAAGATGACACTTCCACTAGCTGACAAATCCAATATTCGTCCTTACGGTGTAGCTCAAGATATGTTAGTGAAGGTGGATAAACTTTTCTTCCCCATTGGTTTTGTTGTGATAGATATGGAGGAGGATGATGATTCCCCTTTGATTCTTGGTCGACCATTCATGAAGACTGCAAGAATGAGGATTGACATCGATGATGGTTTAATGAAGGTCCGTGTGCAAGATGAAGAATTGTGTTTTAATATATTTGAAGCAATGAAACACTCAAATGATAAAGGAGTTTGCTTTAGATTTGATGTTGTCGAAGAAGCTATTTGGGATGTTACAAGCCAAGTTAATCTTTCAACACCTCTTGAGAGATCCTTAACCAATGTACTTCATGTTCTTGATGCCAATGAAGAGAAAGAAATTGAAGAATTTTGAAAGAACTTGAGTCTTTGGAAAAAGTTCAACCTTGGAAAGAAGAAGTTGAAATTTTGAAAAACGAAGTGAAGGAAGAAGATTCCAAACATGAGTTGAAGTTGTTATCTTGACATTTGAAATATGTATTCCTTGAAAGTGGGGGCAACAAACCAGTGATCATTAGCAATTTCTTATCTGAAAAGGAAGAAATGAAATTGATTCAAGTTTTGAAGGATAATCATAAGGCTATAGGTTAGGTTTTATCCAATTTAAAATAAATTAGCCTGGCTTATTACATGCACAAAATCATGAAGGAGGATGAATTCAAACTGGTAGCTCAACCTCAAAGGTGTTTAAATCCAATGATGAAAGAAGTGGCGAGAAAGGAAGTTGTCAAGTTGTTAGTGCATGCATGATTTATCCTATCTCAGATAGTTCTTGGGTTAGTCCGGTCCAAGTAGTTCCATAGAAGGGAGGAATGACGGTAATAGCCAATTACAAAAATGAGTTGGTTCCAACAAGAACCGTGACCAAATGGAGAATGTGTACCGATTATCCAAGGCTAAATAAGGCAATAAGGAAATATCACTTTCCTTTACCTTTCATGGATCAAATGTTGGAGAGGTTGTCAGGACAATAATTATATTGCTTCTTGTATGGGTAATCCGGCTACAATCAAATTTATGTTAATCTAGAGGACCGTGAGAAAACTGCTTTCACTTGTCCTTTCAGTGTTTTTGTGTATCGATGTATGCCTTTTGGCTTATGTAACGCGCCCTCCATATTTCAATAGTGTATGCAAGCCATTTTCTCCGACTTTATTGAAAATAAAATTGAAGTATTCATGGATGATTTCTCCATTTTCAAAGAATATTTTGAATTGTGTTTGAGCAACTTAGACACCCTACAGAAGCGGTGTGTGGAAACAAATTTGGTTTTAAAGTGGGAGAAGTGTAATTTCATGGTTACGGAAGGAAACGTGCTTGGGCATAAAATTTAATCAAGAGGGATTAAAGTAGATAAGGCCAAAGTGGACGTGATTGAGAATCTTACACCTCCAACCAATGTAAAAGGAATCCGAATTTTCTTGGCCATGCCGACTTTTATAGGAGTTTCATTAAGGATTTCTAAAAAATAGCAAAGCCTTTGAGAAATCTTCTCAACAAAGATAAGTAATTTCTTTTTTATAATGATTGCTTACTTGCTTTTGAAAATTTGAAATAAAAATTGATTACTGCATCCATAATCATTACACCAAATTGGACACTTGATTTTGAACTTATGTGTGATGCAAGTGATTATGCGGTGAGAGAGGTCTTAGGACAAAGAAAGAATGTTTTTTCCTGCAATACACTATGCAAGAAAGGTTTTAAATGATGCGCAAATGAATTATGCAACAACAGAAAAGAATTTCTTGAAATTGTATTTGCGTTGGAGAAATTTTGTTTTTATCTTATTGGTTCGAAAATTGTTGTTTTTAATGACCATGCAACTATCAAGTATTTTCTCACCAGGCCTGATTCAAAACAAAGGCTTATTAGATGGATTATGTTACTCCAAGAATTCAACCTTTAAGTCCGTGATAAAAAAGGAACAAAAAACTTGGTGGCAGATCATTTGTCTAGGCTTGCGAACCATGAGGTGACCAAATTTTAAAAAGAGGTTCTTGAAGACTTTATAGATGAACAATTGATGATGATTCAGGAAAGACCTTGGACAACAAAAGAAAATTTTTCCCCGGGATGAAAACTACTTTGTTTGGGATGACCCATACTTATTCAAGTTAGGGGTAGATAATTTGCTGAGAAGGTGTGTGACAAAAGAAGAATCAAATAGAATTTTGTGGCATTGTCACAATTCACCATATGGTGGACATTATAGTAGTGAAAGGACGGCTATAAAGGTGCTACAATCTCGGGATTTTATTGGCCATCAGTGTTTAAAGACTCATTTGAATATGCAAGAAGTTGTGATAACTGTCAAAGAATGGGGGAATATTAAAAAGAACTGAAATGCCTCTTCAAAACATGGTTGAAATTGAGGTATTTGATTGTTGGGGTATAGACTTTGTTGGCCCATTCCCATCATCATTTTCTAAAGAGTACATCTTGGTTGTGGTAGATTATGTTTCCAAATGGGTTGAGGCGATAAAATCTTAGAAGGTGGATGGAAAGAAAGTGATTAAATTCCTCAAGAAAAGAATTTCCACATGTTTTGATACTCTGTGGGTTTTAATCAGTGACAGAGGTTCACATTTTTGCAATTCTCAGTTGGAAAGAGCCTTAGAGCATTATGTTGTCAACCACAAGGTTGCAACACCGTGTCCCCAGAAACAAATGTCCAAGCCGAACTGTCAAACCTGGAATTGAAAAGGGTTCTAGAGAAAACATCGCCAGCTTCTAAAAAGGATTGGTCTTTGAAACTGGACGAAGCTCTTTCGGCATATCGTACGACATTCAAGGCTCCAATTGATCTGACTCTGTTTCAGGTGGTTTATGGGAAAGCATGCCACCTCTCGATGGAACTTAAACATAAAGTATTATGGGCCTTGAAATTTTTGAACTTTGATCAAAATCAATTCGAGATGAAAAGGAAGGAGCAATTGAATGAATTAGATGCATTGAGGTTGCATGCATATGAGTCCTCAAAGCTCTACAAAGAGAGAGTCAAGAAGTACCATGACAAGAAAATCAATCCAAAGCATTTTGAAGTTGGTCAGATGGTGTTGTTGTTCAACTCTCAATTGAGGTTATTTCCGAGAAAATTAAAATCAAAGTGGTCAGATCTATTTCAAATTAAGCAGGTGAAAAGTTTTGGAGCAGTGGAAGTGGAAGATCTAGTTCAAACAATTTGTGGATGGTTCCTGGTCAAAGGCTCAAACTTTATCTAGGTGGGGAATTCGATTAGGGAACAACAAGAATTCCTCTTTCCGATCTTTGAATCCACTTTTGACCATCAAGTTGAAACGACGTTAAACAAAGCGCTTTTTGGGAGGCACCCCAATACTGTAAGTATTATCTATTTTAATTAACTATGTGTAATTAATTATGTAAAGATCGGTTGGAAATCATGCAACATACAAAGTTTTGATCAAGTCCTATTCTACATAATTCGTCGAGCGAGCAAAAATTTTGCCGAGCGAATCAAAATTCGTCGCTGGCTCGCGAGGTAATTGCCGAGCGATTTCTCATTTTTTACATTTTCTTGTTTCAATTATTTTTATAGTGACTGTGTGGTAAAGTGCTTTTGTTTGTTTTAAAATTTTGTGGGCCACAAAATCTAGGCCCATCCATGACCCAATTTCCTCTATGTCATTGCCAAACATGTTGGTTTGGTCACTTTCACCAAATTACAAACCCTAGTGGTTTCCAATTGTGTACTCTCTCTTCTTGCCTTCAAACTTGTGCTTTCATCTTCAGTCAACTCTCAAGGTATGTCTATGATAATTTATGTTTGTCTTTAGAGTTGCATTTGGAATGAGTATTTGATGATGTTGGTAAAATGTGTGTTGTTAGGGAAGAATTATAAAACCCCAAATGTGAGTAATGTTTGGAAGATTAGAGCACCCAAGCCCCTGCACTTTATGTGATGAATTGATTTTTTTTACTGGTTTTAAATAATTTGAGTAAAAAAGTGAATTGGGGATAGTTCTGTTTGGCTGAATTTTTAGGTCTGTGCACGAAATTTCGTAGGGCGAGGCAGAAGTGAGCAACTTGCGTCTTACTCACCGGGAGAATGAAGAGCGGCTGGCATGAATTTTTAATTATTTTTATTTGAATTCTAGCCTCCGAGTTTGTTTTTCTGCTTCAATTTAATGCTAACCTGCATGTTCGAACTTTTATGGTTGTTTTTACTAGTGTTTTGCAAATGCCTCCAAAAGTTCTCGCGGTCTCTAAGAAACAAAAAACTACCGGGGGAAGCAGCTCGAGAAAGCCTATGGAGTTTGACGCTTCATAGTTCAATAGTGCAGAGCATCGGGACAGGTTTGTTGCACTTAAGGGTAGGAAAATCTTGGATGAAAAGATATTCAACATTAACCCTCAAGGTGAATTTAAGAAGGTGGCTGGAATTTTTAAGAAGAAAAGTTGGGGTGATCTAATTGATCCAATGATAGAATTAACTATGATGTGGTGAGAAAGTTTATGCAAACGCCCTTCCAAATGAGGGTGAGCCTTTCACCTTCACAACCTTTGTGAGAGGGAAACCATTGAAGTTCAACTGTGAAGCAATTAATGAGGTTTTGGGTAATTTCTTGAGTTGGAGATTGCATAGTGGGATGAATTCTTATGTGAGCTGAACAAGGAAATAAATTTTGATGAGATTTCAAAATCAATTTTGCTTGAAGGAAAAAGTGTTCAGTTGAATTCCGTGGGAGTTCCAGTTTGATATGGGATGGATGATATGGCTCCTGTGGCACAAGCCACTCTCTTGTTGATATTGAACAATATCAAACCCATGTTACATCATTATTAGACACCTATTGATGTTTCATTTCTATTGCATTTTATTATTAAGAATATGCAGGTGGATGTAGCCCGTATTATTTCTAATGAGATGAAACTTTTTATTAAGAGTACCCGTCAACCAGGGGTAAAATCACATACTCCCTTGATCTTTCCATGCCTTATTACGGAATTTATGTTCGTAGTTGGGTTGGCTTACCCACTATTTGTAATGAAAATATGAGGGGTGTGATTGATGATAATTATATTGAGAGACACCATTTGGAAAAAAGAAAGAAAATTCTAGGTGATGCAGGTGGCCTTATGTACGGGCCATGGCTTTTATACCTCTTGATTACTCTGATTATGATCCTATCCAGAAGGAAATTTGCAACTAAAATTGGGATATAATGGAGGTTTCTCAAAGATCCTTCATGCATATGCATGCTTCAATGGATACCTTGCAGATTCATTTTATGAACCCGACGGCTAACCATCCCCTCCCTACTCAGGATGAGTTTCAGACGCTTTATAATTGGCTTGTGGACATATATCCTTTCTTTTCGGAGAGGGCACCAACAGGTGCAGCAGGTGATTATGTCCATGGTGATGGTGATGATGTCCATGGAGACGGTGTTGGTAATTATGTCATGGAGACTTAGTAGGAAGTGGTTGTGACAAAAAGTGGGCTTCAAAGTGAATAATTTTTTAAATATTTTTTGGTCATTTATTTATTATGTTATTTTCTTTTAATTCAGTTTTTCTTAGAGCTATTTTGAGTTTGACATATAATGTACTCTTGTATCTTTTGTTGGTGTTTCTACGCCTAAGACCTTGTACTCTTTTGTTGGTGTTTTTACACCAAAGACCTTGGATGTGTGAATTTTCTTTTGAAATAAGTTTTAGTATTGTGTTGTATTTTATGTTTTTACAAAGAATTTCTTTTTTTGTCTGTCCTTGTTCATGGTTTAAGTTGCTAAAGAAGCAAGGAATGAATGATTTCAAAAAGTGTTTTGTCAACACAAAATATGGTGGTGATGATAAGAGTCTTGATTTAATGCAAGCAAAACATGTTCATTGTTATTTCTTTGTAGAATGATAACAAGATTATGAACTTTGTGCTTTATGCAAAATCATGTCATGTATCTGTAGCAGTAGAAATGTTGAGACTAAGTCATTGGATTGACTTGACTCGCACAGATCAAAATAAAAATTGCCACCGCTCTTTATTGTTTCCAAAGGAATGGGAAAATAGTGAATAACCCAAAAGAGGGGACAAATTCTAGGTAAGGGGGTTGGTTATACAAAGGGAAGGTATTAGCACCATAAAAATCTACGGTACTCCGCATGAACCTCTTTGTAAAATCTGTATATTTTGGCTATAAAATGTTGTATGAAAATAGATTGTGGTGGTGATGAAAGAAGTATATTTTTTATGATTTTTTCACCCACCACGGTTGCGAACCTTTAGTGCCTATGTACCATATTTCTTGCAATAGGGGATCAGGGTACACATAGTTCCTCTTTAAAAATTTTAAAACACAAGTGTGTTGGTTAATTTTAAGAGATAAGACATCATTACCATTGTCTGAGTGGAAAACATACTTACTACACTCAACAAAGCTCCACTCAACACCCAAGTAAAAAATGTCTCACTACACTAAATAATGTAGAAGTATAGTTGTTTGCATCACTACAAGGATTAACAAGAGTCTACTCTTTTTTGAAATTTTTTTAAAGAAAAAAGCCAAAATGGAAAAAATAGTTTGAATGAAATTGATTGACTTTTAGTCTTCTCACAAAAAATTTCAAGGTATTATTAAGATGATTAAAGTTTATGTGATATGGTGGCAGAATCGACTGTTATATTAGTTTATATTTTTTATTTGCAAATGTCGCAGTAAGCAAGAGTCGCCACCGACTTTTCTTTTTTCCAATAAAGGAAAGGGTGAAAAGAGAGGAAAAAAAGACTCTTTTTTGAGATTTTGAGTAAGGGGGTAGATTATGGAAAAGGAAGGTGTTAGCACTCTTTCCATATGTGGTTTTCCACGGGATCTTAGGTACTTGCTCATTTTGTAAATTGTTTTCGTGTTTGTGAGTTTTGAAAGTTTTTGTTTGCTTTATGGTAACTCTTGTATCAGTCCTCAAGAGTGTGATAAAGCGTTTTTGAAAAGAAGTTTGAAAGTGTGTAAGTGTAAAAAAGGAATTGGTTTTGAGCATGTACTTAAAAGTTATCTACCTAATTGAAAAAAGATGTTCTTTTCCTCCTTTCCTTTAGATAGTGTTGTCCTACTATTATGAGTTGGTAGCCCTATCGTCGGATGTTGATGGACTATCGAAAGGGACACTTATGGTTATTGAAGGCAACATGTAAGGATACCTTAGCAATTCGAAGGGACTGTCATCATATAGGCAACATCGAGAGACAAGATCATTTCTCGTAGGCAACTCGAGGGACGTTAAGGGACCATGATCTTTTATGATGACTTTAAAATTGAGGGTCTTTGCTAAGGGTATCTCTATGTTCGAGGGACATGACCATTGTTTTTCCGAAGGCAACAAGTGAGGTTATCCTAGAGGTACGAGTGTGCAAATGATTCAGTTCGGTTATTTATCTTGCAATTAGGGTTTTCTATCGTTCATTTTTATCTTTCCATACAATCCTATTAATCTAAGCACTGCATAAAATATAGTAGCTGAAGATAAAGGAAGAAATGTAAACCTAGGCTATTACAAGGCTTTGGGGCAGTTACATAATAGTGAAGAGTGTGGAAAACAAATCCTAAAACTATTACATCCCGGAAGCAATTACATGATAATGATTAAAAAAATGCGGGAAAAATAAAGCTACGCTATTACAGTTGAACGCGCCCTATACACTTTATCTAGGAAAATAAAAATAAGATGAAAATAGAAAAGAAAATATTTTGGTGATTTTTTTTGAAAAAATGATTTATGATAATTCATTAAATAAACCTAAAAAATATAATTAATTTTAATTAATAAAAAAAGATTAATTTTGAAAAAAAGTTAATTAAAATACCTAAAACCTAATTAATCTGAATTAAAAAAAGGTTAATTTAAAAAAAAAGTTAAAAAATCTAAAATTAATTAACCTAAAAATTAAATTAGGTTTTTTTGTAAAAAAAAGGTTTGTGAAAAAAGTTTTGTGGTTAAGTGAATTTAAGATTGGAAAAGACAAATTGGTTAGAAACCAAAAACAAACAAGGAAAATGTTGGGGTGAATGTTGAACCTAAAATTAAATTAAAACTTAAAATTAAATTAAAAACCTAAAATTAATTATTTAAATTTATTAGAAACAATCAAAGGATTGTGAAAAATATTAGGTTTTATGTAAAAGGTTTTAAACAGAAAGAATTAAAATAGGTAAAATAGATAAAAGGATAAATAGAATGGAAGATAACCAAAACCAATAGGGGTGGGTGTTGAACCTACACCCTTAGCCTCCTCAGGATGTCTACCTTGTCATGAGCCATGCATTGGTTGTTGTTCAGTTTTGGCCTCAACATTTTGTAATAAACCTGCATGGGACCATGTCTAAATCTGTAGGGTGGAATCTCATGAGCACATTAAATGAATTACTATATCATGAAATACAAAGAAAGCAAATATATGAAATTTTGTAATGTTAAAACCGATATGACATGTATGAATGCTTCTACACCCTTTTGATTATGGAGATCAAATCAGTCATACCCTTACTGGAGAAGTAGTGAGATGGGGATTTGTAACAAATATGACTTGTTTGTAGTGACATGGGGATTTGTAACAAGGATTTTAAGATTTTTAGGGTTCTTGAAAGAATTTGATATTTTGACGGGGTTGTGGCAAAGGTTTTTTTTTTGTCGTATGTGTGAAAAGAATGAGATTATATAATGGAAATTAGAGAAAGGATATGGGTTTCGAATGTGCAATTGGGCCTCCAACAACCACACGCAATAGTGCGGATTTTTATTCGTTCCAGAGTAAATCGCAGGGATTTAAGTGTAATTTTTAAAGTTGAAATGTAAAAAAACAAATGTAGCTGACATCGAGAACTAACTCCTATCCGAAAATTTGCTCAATCGGATAAACGGTGAATTAGCTAGGAATTTTTGAAGTTTCGCCTCAGACAAACTTATTTTGGGCTCTACTGTCAACTCTGACACGTTCTTCAATAAAAAACTGGTATTGATCGGAGAAGAACCTGGTCGCGATCTTGGAAGAAAAGTTATAGCTCCCTGAGTTAGTGAACTTGTGTAAAAGGATGGGCCTGATCCGATAAAAATTGACCGAGTTATGAATTTTCAAAGTTTCGACCCAGATGAAATAATATTCAGCATTCAGAATTTTTGGCGCATCATGTGCACTCTGGGCAGAAAACGAAGGCCTTTTGGATACCGTTCAAACTCAATACCTCCTGTGAAAACATAGAAAACTCAATTTGTGAAATTTTGACGCCGGAACCAGCTCGATATGATGAAAATCGACCCAATTATGATTTTCTGAACATGACGCAAATAAACTTCTATCACAAATTTTCTGTACGAAAATACTTGATAAATCCATATTTTTGAAGACCTTACGATCGAATTTGGCTTCCAACCGTGAGAGATGAAAATGTAGATGACATCAAGACAAGATTTTGGCCACCGA